TAATGAAGTTTAAACGTAAGAAATGGATGAGTTTTTTATATATTTGCTGCTATCGTAAAATTAGCCATTTAAGTGAAATAAACTTAAGAATAATACTAGCTATATTCCAGCATAGATAGTGTTCACGTAGATTCGCAGTTATAAATTGATAGTACAAACACTGTTGAACAGTTGTAGTTTGAACTCATTGTCTCAAAGGATGGAAACAATTGGATTTAAAATTTTCATTCAAGAGCCAAGATAACGAAAATCCTCTCAGCATTTAAAGTTTACTTCGAAGATTTATATCTAAATCAACTTAAGCACCGTGAAAGCAAAGACAATTTTATAAGAACATGTAACACAATCAAGAACAAAGCACAGAAAACAAAGCACGTACGTTAAATCAAGTCAATGCTTTACGACATCTTACAAAAAAACTTTATCAACACTTGCAACAGTGTCGACTTGTAATTCCAAATATTCTTTTTGATAAATTTCGGCAGTCTTAGAAATTACCATTCAGTTTTAGAAGAATAATTGAATATAATGTTTATTGTAAAAATTTGCTAAACGATATGCTGTGTTGATTTATCTTGATGATTCATCAGAATGCAGATCGTAATAAGTTTGTTATTATTAAATCTGATATCTTACTCTTCTTTATTTAGTTTGTCCCTTAGTTTATTTTTAAATTAATTCAATAACACAAAGGCTGTTGTGTCAATACTGATGAAAAATTGTGTTTTGTTTTGTCTGGAATAACACAAAATAGATTTTTTGTCGACACAAACCCACAGGATTGTGAGCATAGCTTTGGTAGAAACAAGTGTCTTATAACTGTTGTTGACATCTCTCATGGTCTGTTCTTTTTTGCTGAATGAATCATGATAGATACCATATACTAGTTTTTGTACCTCCGTATTGTATGACAATCTATAGAACTCACAGGCTCACAAGGGAGTAGAAAAAAAGTTATTTTCGATTTCGTGACATTGGGAGACCTGTCAAGACAAATAAAATATTGTATGATATATTTGTAGGAAACTTGGTGTTTTTAAAGGTGTCGTTATACTTAGGAATAAAGGATGGCATTAAAACACGTATACATGAAAACGTTGATCACAAACTAATAACGATTTAGCCCTCGTCTATTTTAAAGGTTTTTCTACAGGAAATTGAATTCTTTTACGTTCGCATATAAATTGAGTCGATTCGCCAAATAAAATCTATTTGATTTACTTTAAAAGAACTTAGAGTCCCTATCGCATTAATTACTAACATTTATTTAAATATGTCATAATCCAAATTAGACGAAAATTATACGCACTTAATTTTACGTCTTTGTCGTTAGTACGACATGCTATAGTTAGCATGTCGAAAATTAGCCTAATTATTGACTTTGGTGGGTTTGTAATAATTGTTGGTTAAATGTTAATAATTTTTTACCTGATTCTGAAAACTAAACTTCTTTTTATTTCCTATTGCACGAAATAATAAAGAGAATACATATAGTTGGAATTAATATTCTAATAAACTGTTTTATTGAATAAAATTTTATATAAGAATGAAATTCTTGGAGTTAATTAAAAAAAAATTGCGATCATTAAATTTAAATATAAAAATATTTATTTTGTAAGTAAAATAAAAATCCATAAAACTCATTATATAAGGTTTGAAACTAGTTCGTACGAAGCGACGTGGCTTTGTCTAGGATCAGCCAGCTAAGCCTTGCTACGGGATGTTCTGTAAATGCAAAGTCTATTCAATATTAAGATGCTGATTCCATAAGATATTTAAATAGAAGAAAAAAATATTACTTTCAAAAGTAAATTTTATTTTAAAAAATTCTTTGGATATTTGAAGTTATCGTTATATTGTACATACTGATAGAAATAACATCATTTCACAATAATTTTGAAAGTATTCCACGCTCTTTTCCTTATACAAATTCCTGTCATCACCACTCTATCTATAATTTGAGTTATTAAAAAGTATATATATCTTAACTTTTTTATACCAGCGTTATTACTACCTTTTCATTTTTACTTCGTTTAATAATACAAGTTTGAATTTCTTATTTTCAACCAAAAGTAATTACTTGATCAATATCAGTTACTTCATTCAATTCCTTCCAAAATTTTTGATATAACAACGGTGTTTATACTCACTTCGATTTAAGAAGACATTCAAGGCTAAAATGATACAAAGTTGTTATGGTTTAAAGTAATTTTGAAATGAGTGATATAACCATTAATGTTGCAAATCCTTATTATATTATATTGGAATAAGTCCTTGATTTATTCAAAAGTTCAATTAAAATCCACCGTTTGAAGTCCAAATCATGTTAGTGAATATTAAAAGTCAGTTACACATATTACAGAAACAAAAAAAGGTTACAGGTGAAGCTAACAAAAGCTTGATTAAAGATACAAATCAGGGTCATAATGTAATTTTTCTTTTTCTTATCCGTTTGTCAGTTTGACAAGACCATTTAACTCAACTGTGGTTTACATAAATAGATGCTTTTAGAATATTAAAGATGTAAAATAAATTGAATTTATTTGCTTAATTATAAAGTGTAGAAAAAATAAAATTATAGGTATATATAAACTTTATAATATTTCAAGATTTATTAGTTACGAATATATAACTTTTGACTTTACTCAAATATTCTTTACTAGTGTCACACTAAAAATAAAACACTCCTTGTGACAAAGAATTAATCAAATCACATTCTCTTAAATAATGAGAACATCCATAAGCTTAGACCGTTTAATATTAATCTGGATTTTTTATGTAAAGAATAATAATAGTACGATCATTTAATTTATATCCTTTTTTAAGCCTTAATAAAATCGCGTTTTCACCCTCTGCCTTTTTTTTAAAGATACCTACTTTAATGAGAATCAGAGGTTTTAAGAGGATTTAATAAGGCTTAAGCATCCAGGCGCCTTTTTAAATAGCTTACACCGAGTTGAGAAGTCATCTTAATCACTTCCCGATCAAGTGTTGTATCAATGAAAGAAATGTTTTTCTCTTCCCCAGGTATAAATGTTGTATTTTTGTTTCAAATTCAATATGTTATCACAAAGGTGATATAAATTTCGTGTTTTATTTATATGCAGATATATTTCATGTTGTTTTAGAGCTTGTACAAAATCAATTAATGGATTACGTTGCCTCACTTTATGAGCCGTCCGTCACGCACGGGGTCAATTTATTGTGCAATATAATTTAGGTCTGTATTAAATTCGTCCCATTCTCTATTTAATTTACAACTCGGTAAACTCGCCGGGGAAATTTAGGACAGTACCTTAATAAAGTTATTTTTAAATTATACTTATTAAAGCATATAATATGTAACGATCATGTACTTCTTATTGCTATTGTTTGTTCTACGATTGTTTGAAATATCTACTTTTGAAATTTTAAGTCGCAGTTATTTGCTAATATGTAATTATATAACCATTTGAATTTGTAAGAAGCTTTTCATTTTCAAGATTACTAAAGATTTTCACATTGAACGGCTTAGATGGATTTGTGATTTCACTCTTCAAAGTTACATTAAATAAAAATCATGTTACTACAATAAAATTCAGTATGTCTTTTTAATTTAAAATGTGCATTTTTTTTCGAGTAAAAGTTATTCATGTGGTATAAATATAAAGAGAAGAAATCTAAATATATCGACTTTTTTATGAAATTTATCGAATCAACAAGTTTTTTCTACAAGTAAATTTATCCCTGAACACTAAAGCAGCGTTAATAATAAATGCTGTTACTGTGCTATCATTTTGCTCTTTTAATAACAATATTATGATCACTTAAAGTCTTTTTATTTTTGCCATGTTGTTCAAAATATATATCATGATGAACAATATTAATACTTTTTTCTTCGTACCTAACACATATTCGGCATTCAGATTTTAAATATTTATGCATAACATATAAAACACTTTATTAAAACGAAATATAAAAAGCGGATTCCTTTTTTATCTTTTCTTTCCGTCGTGTAAAGAATCGTAGTTCACGTTTTCTTAAATCCTTGTTCTTGTAAGGAAAGTTTACTGAGAAGTTTTGTGCTATACGTTGAACATGTTTCTTTTTTATCTGTAATAGTTTCAGCTGGTACACCTTGGATAAATATAAAATATTCAGAGTATTTCTGTCATGGGCCAGTGGTTTTGACTTTGAATAGTTAAGGTGTCAGGAAACCTGTAACACCCTCGTCTCTCTGAATTCTGTACAAGTCTAAAATTATGAATCGGTTTTCGCTTATAATTAATTAAATGTGGATATATAATTCTTAACCAAATTAAGAATTTAATAGAAATGATAATATTTCAATTTTTATTTACTATTTGTGGGAAAATATTTGAAAGGAACGTTTTGTTGACATTTTACATATATTGTAACAAGCAATGCCCCTAAACAGATTTGTGAAAACTCTCAGAGTAATATATGTATAAATAATAAGTATAAACATATATAATTAACTTTATAGTCATATTTTTGATCATGTTATAAACTGGATCTAACGTCCAAATTTTGAGATTTCATAGGGTTTATCAGCTTTTAAAAGTTATACATTTATTTTTTCTTCTTAATTAAAGACGCACCATTATTGAAACTACTAAACGTAATAATTCCGACGATGGATAAATCTAAATCTAAATTTTTAACATAGGATTTTTTTAATAGTAATCAAAAATACATATATTTCGTATTTCTATATAACATTGTTCATAAAATTAATTTTTGACTTCTGTTACACGACCTAAGTAACTTATGTAAATTAAGTCACCGCAAAATGCTAATGTACAGGACAGTAGTGGGATCTAATATATATTTTTGACTTATCTCTCAAAGCTTTGATATTAGACCGGTTGAATATATTTTTTAAATTCTTATATGACATTACAATTTATTATATTTTATAACGACATTATATGTACATATGATTGACGTTGATTTGTTTTTACAGATATTCACTGAAAATGACTTAAGCCGATGTCACGATGAGGATCGTTAGCTTGCTTCTGACACTCGTCTGTGTCATGTCTTTCAACCTCACACACGCTAAAATAGGTAAGTTATCATTATGTCTGTTAATTTCAACTTAGAATATATTTGTATTATAATATACTGAAAACACGAAACTGTTAACTATATTAATGTTAATACATATCGCATATATGTATACTTCTCATATTATGCTAGAGAAAGAGTATATAATGAACAAAATAAAATTTCTAAAGGTACACTAACCTTAAATTTAGAAGCGTTATCATATAAGTTAGGATGATGAGTTCTGAGATCGGTGTAGAAAGACTTTGCTGAAAGCCAAGAAAGTGTTTCCTTAGAACCCACTCAACATACATTAGAAACTGATTTTTAAAGTTTCATACAGGAAGTTTTATGCAAAGATACATTAAATCACAATACAATCAAATTATGAACCACATTATCTGGAATATAGATGTTTGATTGACATGAAATTATTAACTGTATAAACAAAGTTGCACTCAGAATACGGAGAAGAATGATTAATGTTCTAGCTTCCCCGTTCATTTGTTACTTAACCGATAAATTGGAAACACGGAACTGATTTGTTGAAAAATTTATGACGTATTTTGAGGATGTGATATTATACCTTTGAGTAAATGCGGAAGTTAATCTTAAACATAATTTATAAAGTAATTTGCTGATTTTTATTCGTAATAAAAGTATAAAAATAATTATCTAAATATAATGGTTGATTTCGTAATATTGTTGTCTTTAATAAAAAAAAATTAAGTATACTATGGAAGTTTAAATGAAAGATAATAAAAAATGTAAGCTCTCGTATTAAGATTCTAGAAATATACATATGAATAAATTATGCAACTACAATGAATTAATTAGAAATGACCGAATATATTCACTGAGATAATACAAAATAGCACCTAAATTTCGCATCGCTAATGAACAGTTGCATAATGGCAAACAAGGCATTCTTAGTCCGTATCTATAATAATATCTCAAAGCCTTTTCATTGTTTCAGTGAGTAATAAAAAAAGATACGGAATTATTTTCTGGCTTTATTTATTTGATCTACTCCTAGTTTCAATTCTAATTTATATTAAAAAAATGTATTCCATAATTATATAACGATAAAGTTCATTTCCTTATTTATACTGTTCATATGTGCAACTTAATAGTATGGAAAGTACATATACCTATGTATGTCATAAGAATGATTATGACATACTCAATCTTTAAAAGTATTGAGTATTAAATATATATAAAAACTAGATATTGATATGATCTAAGTACATTAAAATTGTGTGAGTTCTCTGAAACGTACACAAATAAAGGGAACATATAAAAACAAATTGCTCAGCATTTGTCTAGAGCTCCGCAAGAAGAGCGTGTCGCTGTAATTCGAACTTATCTGCGGACCGGAATGAGACAAAAACACCTGATTAATGGCTCCCACTGATGGAAATGCGTGTTAAGAAAAGTTACAAATCCCTTTATTCGCCAAAGAGATTACAGAATAAGGATATATTACATTTAATAATATAATTATTTTTATTTAAATACGAATAAGTTCTTACATAAATACGTGGTTTATATAGCAGTGGTTATGTTAAGAATTAAAAGTCAAAAATAGTTGATAATATGACCTAAGTTCAAACTGACTAAGAAATTTATTTTAAGTTGAACCATGCTGCTTATATCAAGAATTCAGTGATGTTGCAAGCAGTTACTATTTGATTATAGTTGTTACTTGCAAATTTAACAAGTTGAAAATGTAGGTTAGGTTTGATGTACGTTTTTCCGGATAAATAAAAAAAACTTTCAAATTCATAGTCATAAATGTAAACGTATATATATATATAATGTCATATTTATTTTGAAATAAAACAATGTCACACAACATTTCACAATAATTGCTTGCCAGACACACATCACGTTTTTTCCATTTACCGAGCCTGGAACAAAGTTAGATTTCCCAGGAGATATCAATGGATTTCTAAGAACTAAAACATTGTTCATATACCGCTGGAATTGTATTAGTAAATACGGCATAACTATACCTTTTTCTTCACATAAATTTTCGTCTAATTTTTTTTTGCACATAATTTTTTGTAATAAATGAATGTATCATTAAGATATTTTTATTTTATTCGGAATGACGTCAAAACAACTTTGTTTTGTTTTTCTTGATGTTTTTTGTAATTAATTTAAATGAAAGGTACTACGCTATAATAGTAGATAACAGCTGGTAAAATAGATTATGCTGGTTAGAGTGGAAGTGGAATTATCCTCAATCCATTTTCAAAAGCTTAATTCAATTAGAAAGAAAGTATTATGGTCGGTTCTTGGGAATTAATACAATTACAAGTTAAAACAAAGTAAACCTAATTCCTTCAAATCACAAAGTAATATCCAAATCACCAGACATTTAACTTTTTAATACAATTAAGAAAATTATTACGAAATTTCAAAACATTTTAAACAGGTCTCTCATGTATTGGACAGAAATGATTAGAAAAGTCACTTTTTATTTAATAAAACGTCTAAATGAAAGAGAAATAAATATTTTATTTTCTAGAATAGAATATTTATGTGATATTTTTCGAAATAATTATTATGTGATTCTCCAGTGATTTTTTTTGAGATGAAATACATGTACATAGGTTATATTTATCATCTATTTATTTCCTTTTCTAACAAAATAAGAAAGACACTCAAAATATAGACATTAGCAATCAAAGTAAATATAAGTTTTGTCATAACCCAACTTTAGATGGTGATAACTTCGTCACTTTTAAGTTTCGAGTTATCAAACTTATGAAATGAGGAACATTGGGATGCATCCTATTGAACGATGTATATATTTTTATGATTTCTATACATTTATAAGGTTGATATTTATGTTATAGCAATTGTTTTGTGTCATAACAATTTTATAACAAAATTTATTTATTTATTTAATCGATTCTGTCAAATATTATAATTTATAAGGAACGATTTTAACATTCAAATAAATGTTTTAAGAAAAATTTCCATTAATCTCATAAGGTATATCTCAATAGTTACTACGAAAAACCAAAACATGCAAAACGAATTTGGTTTTCAAGATGAGTATGTTGAAATATATGTTACTTTTAAACAATTAAACGGGTAAATATTTTTCACAATTATTATTATTTTTATAGAGGTGACCTATTAACCAAAAACAAATGTAAAATTACAGTAGCGTTGGAGATAAAACACAAGATGATTAATATAATGTTCATTAAAAAACGAAAAGGCTTCACAGAACCCACGTCTATAATCTCTCAAACTTACTTTTCGGAAATTCGATTACCAAAAGCCAATCACACTTTGAATAGAAAAAAAAAACAAATTAAAATGGATTACAGCTCATATATAGGAATTCGCTACAGTGTTTTTTCATAATCCTCTAAAAATACGCTTTAAATTCAGGTGAAATAATGGTGAGTTTTCCATATGTAAATGTGAGTGGTTTGTTGGTTTAGCTTCGGTATACTTTTGCTTTTAGAAAATGTTTATTTGTACACGGCATGAGCATACGAGATTACGAAATTGTTTCGCAATGAATAAATATAAGGCTAAATTAGTCCTAAAGGTTTGTTTTAATAATATTATCATTTTAATACCACTTTCTATATATTTTCATAAAATTCCATATCACAACATTGATTAAAACATACTTGGTTCTATAGGGTTTGATAAGAAAATAGCATGAAGACAGAATGGAACATTCAGTTAATTGTAGTTTTTGTTGTATTCTAAATTGAAAAGTATATACCTGTTCGCTCGCTCTTTTTTCTATTTGTTTTTATTTGTTTCACTGTTACAATTTTTCCTCTAAATTCAATAATTACTTTATTCTTAGTGCACGCTAGATAAAAGAATGTTGTTCTTCCATAATTTGAAATACTTTTATTTTTCTTTAACACTAATACGCACAGTTCAAAATTCTTAAAAACTTAATTAAGGTATAAAAAATGTTTTATTATGGGTGCAAATTCTAGTGACACACGACCCTTGGAGCTAATAACGTACAAAGGTAGGGAAATATTTAAAAATACACATGTACAGTTTTTTACCGTCTACTCAATCATGTTATATCGAATAAAGATGCAAGGGCAAAACATTGTTTAATGCTAACAAAAAAAATATTTTACAACTTATGATAACATGGTGTTATGTATAAGATAAATATGTACATTTTCATAAGGAGATCATGAGGTGTGACTTAATTTGATAAGTTTAGAAATGATGATGAAAAATGGAAAGTTGTACCTTATTCATAAAAAATGAATAGTTAAAAACTTTAACATGCTAGGAAAAGTTATAAGAGACACTTCAAGTAACATATCGTGAATTTCAAGCGCTGATGTTTGAGAAGAAGTAAACTGAAAAAATATATATGTTTTTTTAAATAAATTATACCATTATTAAAGAATAGGTATTACATTCTTAATTAAAGTAGTTATACTATGTATTACTATTTCTAATTAATTTTATAAATTGTACTTTTTTACTAAATTTATTTTCAAAGATTTTTTCCAATATTAGCCTTGCAAATTGCAAACAGTTGGGGAATTAAGATTTCTGTTTTATAAGTTGTCGTATTTCCTTTTAAAAAAAGTTAAATTATATAATATGGTTTCTTTTTATCTATCCCAGTACCACTAGTAACAATCTTTAATTTGAAGGATTCTAATTTCTATAATATTAAATTAGTCACAAGAAACTTTTCGTGAAATCCATTATACCAAAAATTTCTTCAACACACGATCAAACGATCAGTTTGCGATGCATTGTGACAATTTTTAATTCAGCTTTTGACATACATAACTTTCAAATATCTACACACATCTATCTTGTTTTATCATCTTACGAGAAGGCAGAGAATCAAAGTTTTAAGATAAAACCAGCTAGGATAAACTATTAAATTTAATACCAAAATGATGTTGTGATATTATATATCTTATGTTCGTCCTCTGTCTTAGCTTTTGAAGTTATGTGATTTGCCTACTTATTGTGATAGCGTCATGTATGGATTA